CTTGGTGCATTCCAGAACGAACATTTAATACATTTTGAGTTTGATATTTCATTGCATTCTATTATTTGAGAGAGATTAACACATTTTCCATTTGAAAGTAAAACTTCCGATGATATGCACGATTCACAAATTCCATATGAAGAACACGTTAAACACGTCATGTCACATTTATCGCATTCATTTGTGTTGACTTGAAAATACCCATTTTTACATCGTGTGCACCCATATTGTGTAACATTCACATCGCATCCTATTAAACTACTTCGTGATTTACAATCTCCACTCGATGTTTTGTAATTCGTTATATTACAAGTCAAGCACCTTAAATTTGTGTTACATGATGCACATGAAATATCACATTTATTACAATCCAACCCATTTCTGTAATACCCTTCAATGCATTTAACACATCCACCAGATGATAATAGTTGTGTGCAAATTCCAACCAATTTGGCATTTGTATTGCATGTATTATTTGAGAGATAATATCCCAATGGACATGTAATGCAGTGAGTCGAACTAATGACACACGCCATACAATTTGGATCACATTTTTCACATTTGTTCGTTGACGAACTGTAAAAATATAAGTCTTCACATCTCAAACACGAAACCGAACTCTGGTTTGTGCATAACAAATCGTCATTTGTGTGACATTTCATTTTGTTTGGAATCGAATTATTATCACATTCTAAACATTTTGAATTTGTAATGAAATTGCATTTTGCAATTGGGGACGAACACCTTCCGTTTTGATCATTTGGTATTGAACAATTATTATTTTCACACATTTTATTTGAATTCATTTCAGACGTTATTTCACATTTTGTGGGATGACCATTTTCACAAACAAGACTTGAATTATACATTTCTGAACATTTTTGACAATTTGTGGAATTCGTAACAAAACCACTTTTACAAGTTATTATATTATTTTGATTTGTGTATTTTGAATCATCATCTGCACGTACACATTGTGTATTGTTAATGTTGAAAGTGTTTAAATCACAAATTTGGCATTTTTCATCAAAAGTTTGAATCAAACAGTTTGTAGATTTTTGACAGCTACCTACAACTAATAAATACCCATTTGAACATTTCAAACATCTATTTGATCGTTTTAACAAACAATTTGGTATTATTGCACATCTACCATTTCTATCAATATTGTAATTATGTTGGCATCTTAAACATTCATTTGTGTTGTAAAAACAATCAAGACAATTTAAATCTGTACATTGTTCACATTCTTGTGTTATAGTGTTAAAATGCAATCCATCCTCACATTCTGGATTTATTAAATATTTAGTATGATTGTTTGTCGTGTATATTGCCTGTGAAACTACCTTTTTGAATACAAAATATTGAGTCGAAACAAGAAGAACCGTTTTTGTTAAAGACGAAATATTTGTAATCAATTTTAATGGTTGTGAATTTACACCAAGAACAAAGTTGTTTGTTTTATAAAACGAAACTTTTTTGTTTTCGATTGAAACACTTTCAATGTCAAGTACCTCCTCAAGTTCATTGGTTTTTTGATGTGAGTTTATTGGTGGTGTATCAATATATAAATTAAAAAAAGTGATGTTTTTAAATGGAGTAATATAACAATTGAAAGAACTACAAGGACAGTATGGCTCACTATAAAACCCATTTTTATTAATTAAATGGCAAAACACCTTGTTTGAAGAACCCAGTCTTAATAAGCGACCATCTATAAGAAGTTTAGTTCCTTGTGGAAGCGTTGTTTTAATTGGCATTATAGAACAAGCCAAATCTACTTCAAATGAATTCTGAAAACTGAAAATTGTCATGTTTATTTGATAAGTAAAAAAGATGGGTAAATCCCTGATTGTCCTTTTTGTTACTTTAATATTACAAAAATTGAATATTGAATTATTCAAAATGTTAATCCATGTAGTATTTGTCACAACTATCGTGCCATTGTTGATACAAGATAAGTTTGTACTGTTAACACTATTTCTATCATCATTTCCATTTAACACTAAAGTGCCATTTGTGATTTCAAAACTAGAGGCATTCACAAATGAATTCTTGTTCATTTCAAATGTGTGCTTTCCATTGTTGATTTCAATTTGTGTAACGTTTTTGATGACAGCATCATTGTACATCAAAAAAGTGGCATTGTTACTCAAATAAAACCTGTTTTTAATTGAAGTGATTTCACTAGAATTCATTGTGAAAGTTGAATTACCATTAATATAAATATCCATTGTTAAATTGATACTCGATTTTGAAAACATTATGCAAGTGCTATTTCCACCAAAACCTATGTCATAAATTGAATTGACAAAAGAATGCTCATGTAATAACATAGTTGAATTCCCATTGAAATCAAAAAAATCGGCAAATTTTAAACTTGAATAAATGTCCATTTCAAAAGTCGTGTTGTCTCCAAAATCAAAAAAATCTATATTTTCAATTGTGGCATTTAAGTTTAAAAGGAGTGTAGAATTCCCATTGAAATGAAAAAAATCGACACGCTTTATGCTTGAATAATTACCCATATTAAAAGTTGCATTGTCTCTAAAATAAAAAAACATCATTCTTTCAATGTACGCATTTGGGTTTAAATACAGTGTAGAATTTCCATAAAAAGTAAAAAATTCGGCATTTGTTATTGAATCAAGAAAAACAATCCCGTTTTTACTCGATCTTATATCTCCTAACATGTCTATTTTAAAACCGTGTTCCATTTTAAAAATTGAGTTGTCACCAATAGATATAGTAAAATAACTGTTAAAAAATCCAAGAGTTTTAAAAATGAATATTGATTTGTTGTATAAATTGATATTATAAATTGATTTAATAACAGATATGTCTGAAATGATAAATTGTGATTCATTAAATAGGTTAATATTTTGTGTGTCTAAAATCGAATTATCATACAAATTGAAATGTGATTGATCTTTTAAAGTAATATCTGTTGTTGTACAAAGTGTTGATCTTTGTGTGACATTTATAATCGAAGCATTTTGACATATCAACCCACCTGTTATTTTTAGTGTTGAAACATTATTTAACATGTATAATGTTGGTGCTTGTAAAGAACTTGTTATTGTCAATGTTTCATTTAAAGTACAACTTACTGATTGAATGAAAGACTGTTGTACCAAATTAGAAGGACATGAAGCTCTAACAGAAGTGATCATTGATGTTATATAACATATAAATAAAACATACAAGGATGATGTTTTACTTCGCATTTACAATTAAATTGTATATTCTGTTTTTCAGATTATGACATGTTATATGAAAATATATTTTTATCAGAAATATTCATTAAATAATATTTATAGATTATTTTATGAGTTATAACAGAATTATTCAACGTTATAATTAGGGATTAATCCCAATTAATAAAAAATCATATGAAAAAAAAAGAAATGATACAAAAACATTATAAAATAACATTGTCTTAAATCATGGTAAGAAAAGTTGCCATAAGTGGAATAACATAATTGTGCCACGCCATTTTACACAATGTTTTATTATTATTATTATCCTGAAAAAATAACCAAACGATCAGTAATATACACTGAAATATTATTTATATAGTCAGTCTAAAAACGTTGTCCGCTTTCCAACTTTGTCTGGGCATTTTTGGACCATCAAAACTGGAATATTTCGGGAAACCTTTCGAAACACTCCCAAAACATTGTTTCATATTTTTTACTTTGATTTCAACGTTTTTTCCTAATTCCCAATTTTTTCAACTTGTTTTGTGTAAAATTTTGTCAAATAGACACATTCTTAGACAAACTTTAAATGTTTGTAATATGTTATAACAGATGAATTGAACTTAAAATAGAGGGAAATTGATCCCAATAAATTACCAATTGTTTGAAAGACAATATGTTACAAAAACACAGCAATAAATCATAATTGAATTTAAAATAAAATTAATGAAATTATTTTTATTCAAATGTAATTTTTATAACAAAAACAACAAGTAATTAATCAATTTATATAATTATCGCGAATTTATAGCCTTTTCTACTTTGTCAGTATAATTCTCGTTTTATCATTTGGCCTTAGTATTGACTAGCTTCATAATCTTGTCATCTTTTTTATTAAACTTCTTTGTGTTTGCAATAGAGAAGTTGCAACTATTTTGAAAAACTGCTCTTTTAAAAATATTCTACGTTTGTGGTCGTGTTTTTAGTTTTTTATGTAGTCTTTTCTTTTGTTGAGATATTCTGTTTATCATTGGTTTCAAAATCAAAAGTGATTTAGATTTGTGGGAAACCTTTTAATGTGAGTCTTATACCAGACAATAAAACTATACCGAACACATTAAAGTGTGAAATCATTTAAACTTCACTTTTTATATCTTAATCAAAACATTAGGTTGGTTATAATAGTAAAGTGGTATTGTTAATTAACGATAAGAAAAATAATTATACATATAGTTTTTTAATAATAATCAATGGTTTTTTCCTTTTTTTGTAATATTATTTTCTATGTTATATTTTTAAAATTATTTAAATATAACCATATTTTTTATTTATTTAACTATATTATACATTCAAAAAAATAATTGCAAAATGAGTAGAAAATGTAATTCCTCTTCTGGCGAATCTCCAAGTAATATTAAAAAAGCTGGCAGACCATTTACAATTGTAAATCACAATAAATGTCGCCTTTGTGGTGTGACATTTTTTTATATATGAAAATAATTGTTTTAAAAAGCAAATGAAACGATTGATAAATATCATTTCTTTTCAAATGTCAAATAGTAAATTTAAATAAAAATATTACTGGGTATTTATGGTTTTTTATTAGCAATGATACTTTCCTGTCTTTTGTGAATAAAGTCTTATTCTATACCCAACTTTAAAAAATTTAAGTGCTTTCTGATGATAATTAACTAAACTTTGAATAGAACCATGCTTTTGTTGATGTATCGCCTTCATAGACCTGGATTAGTACGCTTAATTGATATTTTTTTGCTAATATTTTTTGGATACTAAAAAGCAATGCATTCATAACTCATTTTACTATTTTTATAATGTTAACAATTATTTCTTTTTTTAATCAGACAACTTATAATTCGATTATATATTCTTCTTGTGTCATCACTTTTAATAAACTATAAAAAAATTATAAATAAATACATTTTGTTAATTGTTGTTAGTGTGTAATCATATTAAAAGTGTGTAGTGTTAAAAATACAAACATAATTTATTGGAAACTTTATACTAATATAATATTTGAAATGGACTTCTTAATATGTGTAATTGCTGGAGACCATGGTTGTGGCAAAACAAGTCTTCTGACTGTTTATTCATCTTCTGAATTTCCAACTGATTACATTCCAATTTGCCATGATGATTACCACAAAGACGAAACGATCGACTCTCAAACAATCAAAGTGTATTATCAAGATTGTGCAGGATCTGATAACTACGACTTTTTCAATAAGACTCATTTTTCACAGGCAGATGCCGTGGCAATTTGTTTTGCAATTGACCCAAAAGAGTCGTTTGAAAGTGTTGAAAAGAAATGGAAGCCCAAAATTGACAAATATAATCATGAAAAATGTTCATTTTAGTTGGGACGAAATGCGAATTAAGAGAAGCCAAAGAAAAAACCGCTTTACTTATAAGTAAGACAGAAGCAGAAGATTTGGCAAAGAAAATAGGTGCTCAAATATATATTGAATGCTCCGCCAAGGAGAATATTAACGTGGATAAAGTCTTTGAAGAACTAGCCAGAGTAGCTCTAAAAGAAAGACCAATTAGACAACAAAGAGAAAAGCGGGAAAAAATGGAGTTTGAAGAAAAACTCAGAAGTGAACACCCAGAAAACGAAGTATCTGATCCTTCAGATAATGAATAATCGATTTCATTACATTTTTTGTTAATTTGGCATCTCAAATTATAAATAAATAAATATTTATAATAAATCTAATATAATTATTATTTATAATAATCTAATAATATTTATTAGATACAAATAAACATCTCAAAATTTCTGAATCTTTAACTTATATTATTTGAATGAACATATTGATAAGAATCCATTATAACCCGATAACCTTTTTATTGGACATTTTATGTGTATTATTGTAATCTGATTTATAATTTTTTAGATTAACCCATTTGAAAATTTTATTATTTTTCATGAAGTATTTATTTAAAATTTAATAGTTAAAATATTATAATTAAATACTTTATTTTAAAAAATTTTAAAAAGTATTTAAAAGTGACGAATGGATTTTTTTAATGAATAAAAAAATATTTAGAATATAAAGAGACTAAACTATAAAATGGATTTATATGCCTCGAGGTTTACAATTGGGTTATTTTTTGTTGTTTTTTGTGTTAATTTGGAGTTAGTGAATGGGTGTGAACTGAGTCAATACTTTGAAGATAGAATTTGTAAAAGGTGTTTGCGTGACTATTATTGCCCAAATGGTATATTAATGTATCCGTGTCTTTTAGGTACACATTGTGATTATGATGCAATTGAATGTACTCCATGTCAAGACGGTTACTACTCAACAACAACAACACTGGTAACCGATTGTTTGCCTTGTCCAAGTGGCACTTATTCTTACGGAGAAAATAAATCCAGTTGTACACCATGTCCAGAGGGTACTTATTCTGTTGGGGGTTCGGGGACGTGCACACAATGTACAAATGAAGCGTGTGCAAATTGTGATGCACAAACTGGTGAGTGCACTTCGTGCCAACCAGGATATAAATATATTGTTAGTATGTTGACACCCGCCGAATGTGAACAATGTGAAGCTGGTTATTATTCAACGGGAGGTAAATATTTATGTTCTAAATGTCCATCACTAACATACTCTGTGATGGGTTCATCTCAATGTATACCATGTCGTAATGAATGTAAGTTGTGTGATCAAACAAATGGAAAATGCACTTCATGTTATACCGGAAGTTATCTTGAAAGTGGGGAGTGTATTCATTGTTTAGCAGGGACTTATTTAAGTGGCAATTCATGTGTATCTTGTAAAGAAGGTTATTACTCCTTTGAGAATAGTACACAGTGTTCACCTTGTAATTCCATTTGTTTAGATTGCGACAAAATTAATGGGAAATGCACTTTGTGTAATGATGGACAAATTCTTCAAGAAGGAAACTGTGTAATATGCCAAGAAGGAACTTACCACAACAAAGCAAGTAATTGTTGTGTTGATTGTCCAATTGGTACATTTTCATCAACAAAAGGAGAAACTACATGTACAATATGTGGAGAAGGAAAATACACTTCAAATTCCGGATCGACGATATGTTACGATTGTGATATATCATGTATTACATGTTATGCAATAACAGGTCATTGTACGTCATGTAAATATGGACAAATCATTCGGTCGAGTAAATGTGTTTCATGTGAAGCAGGGACAAGGGCAAACCAAACAACCAACACCTGTGAATATTGTCCGGCCGGCACTTATTCAAATTCGGCTTCTTCTGAGTGTTACCCATGTGAAGAACACACATATTCATCAACTAATTCATCAAAATGTTATGAGTGTGGTTCAAGTTGTGAAAAATGCGAGAAAACAAATGGAAACTGTTTAGAATGTAAATATGGAATGTGGTTAAATTTAAATGGGAATTGTCTTTTTTGTTCTCCAGGAACATATGCAGTTGATTCAAAATGTGAAACGTGTGCAGATATGACCTTTCAAAATGTATCAGGACAAGTCAGTTGTATTCAATGTGATAGTTCATGTTTTTCTTGTGTTAAAACGACTGGTAAGTGTATTTTATGTAAAGCTGGATATGAACTCACAACAGACGGTAAATGTATAATATGCAAAGAAGGTACTTATTCAGTTTCAACAAATTCAACGTGTATTAAATGTCCCGAAAAATGTGATAAATGTGTTAAAGAAACTGGTGTATGTACGAGTTGTATTTCAGGATTTAAGGAAATTGCACATGGTGTGATTACGGAATGTGTACAGTGCTCTTCCAATGGTAATTGTTTAACGTGTGATACAAATGAAGTGGAATCTTTAAAAGTCTGTGTTGAGTGTATAAATGGTTATTATTTAGAGAACAACATGTGCAATTTGTGTTCAAATATCACAAATTGCGAAAAGTGTTCAACAACACAGAAAGAGTGTTTAATGTGTTCCAACGACTTAGTTACAAGTGTCAATGAATGTGCTTTTTGTGAAGAAAGTAAAGTCAAAATTGATTACAAAACGTGTATAGAGTGTTATAAAAAGATAAGCAACTGTCAAACATGTGCATATAACAATGGAAATCAAATTTGCATTAAATGCTTTTCTCCTTATGTAGTTGAAAATAATTTATGTGTTTTGGCGTATTCAAAAACAACTCATTTTAATGTTGAAAATAGAACAAAAGAAGACAATCTCAAAGGTTGTCTTGCTCAAGTAAATTCCTCTTGTTATTTGTGTAATGAAAATAACACTTTAAACAACAATAAATGTGTTGAAAGAGACGGGAATTGTTTGGCTTATTCGATAAAAAGTTGTGATATGTGTGTTAATATGGTCATGACAACAAATGGAAATTGTTCTATAAAGTCTGAATGTAAATACCAATTTACTCAAAATGAAAAAACATCTTGTCTTATTTATTCTAATACTACCGAGTTGGGACTTCCCGTTCAAAATTGTAAATACACTCAAAACGAGTTTTGTTATTTAGCCAATGACAATTACTACACAACAGTAGATAGAAAAGGACAAACTCAGAGTTGTACAAACTCGAGAATATGTCAAAATATATTTGAAACGTTGTATGATTTTTCATGTGAATTTAATTTTGTTTTAGACTTGAGTTCAACATGTTTTAAAGATGAAAATTGTTTGGTAATGGAAGCGAGTAATTGTGTTTTATGTTTGTCGAACTATCACATCGAAAATGGAATCTGTGTAACAAACAAAGAAAATTGTTTAAAACAAAACAAAGAAAGATGTTTATCTTGTAAAAACACACTGTTAGTTGATGAAAATTGTTTACCTTCCAATTCAATTGAATGCCAAGAGTTTAATAATAATCAATGTCATACTTGCGAAGATAATTATTATAAAAATGTTTCTGGTTGTGTTAAAAAAGAAGGGAAATACGAAAACTGTGATTATATTAGTGTTGTAAAGGACTCTTGTATACAATGTAATACTTCATATTTACTTGTTAATGACAACTGTGAATTGGAAAATGTTCAAAATAAGACAATCGCAAGTTTACATTTAATATATAAAAATACTGAATTTAATGATAATTGTATTGATAGAAGTCCAGCGGGATGTCATAGATGTTCAGATGGGTTTTATATCTCAAACATGAAATGCATAAAATGTGAATATCCATGCACGTCTTGTTATAATTTGACGTATTGCACCAAATGTGACAAATACTCATACTCCAAAAACGGGATTTGTATACAAATAAATGATTTAATTGGTGTTTGTGAAATATTGATGTCAACGCACGACGGGTGTATTGTATGTAAAGATGGATATATGCGATCACCTGATGGTAAACAATGTGAAAAATGTGACGAGTCTTGTTTGACGTGTTATAATGAAGGAAGTTGTATAACATGTAATGAAACGTATTACAGACACCAAATAATGTTACT